AGTCATAATCACACGATTCATAACTATTAACCTTTTGATGTGTTTCCTTCCAATTGATTTATTTCTATGTTTCCAAACATACAGGAAACCATATTATTATAAGTAAAACTCATACTAAAATTATATTTCCTTGACTTCTTATGTTGTTCAAGACCTCCAATATTATGTTGAAAACTTTTGTTACTAGTGAATAACATTGTCCCTTGAAAGGAATGCTTCTAAATTTTCTTTACTCTAAATAATAATGGTTTTTTCTGTGTGTTTGTACCAAGATTATGTTTATCATTTTATTTATTTTTTATTTTTTAAAAAATATATTTTATTGATTTTTTACAGAGAGGAAGGGAGAGAGATAGAGAGCCAGAAACATCGATGAGAGAGAAACATCGATCAGCTGCCTCCTGCACATCCCCTACTGGGGATGTCCCCGCAACCAAGGTACATGCCCTTGACCGGAATCGAACCTGGGACCCTTCAGTCCGCAGGCCGACGCTCTATCCACTGAGCCAAACCAGTTTTGGCTATGCTTATCATTTTAAAAAGTCACTTTGTATTTCTAGTTTTTTAACAACTTTCTATGCTGAAAGGCACTAAATTATTATTTGTCCTGCGTCTTTTGAGATAATAATATGTTTTTTCTCATTTAAACGACAATGTGGCGAAATCACAATGATTTATTTTCAGCCCTATTAAACTTTATTATATCTTGAGCTATCCTCTTTCTAATTTTATCTTTAAATAAAAAAATAGTTTTCTTTTCTATTTTTTGTTGCTTAATCTTATAAGACTACTGCGTAGGTCGTAAAAAACAAGACCAACCAAGATGTTAGTACTGTTGACTATCTCCATTTCTTATTCCCAGGGTCACTGATTTTTGTCTTGGGCATTTTGTTACAGGAATGAGGCTGGGAGGCAGGGCTGGCAGCCGTGGTGAGAAAGGAAAGAGAGGAGGACTGCCTTTGCTTCTTGTCTTCCACAAACCAGGACTGTCCATCCTTTTTATCTGACAGCAAATAGAATGAGGACTTGTGTAGTAAGGAGGATACAGCTTGAAGGGCGATGGAGAAAGGCATGCCAGGGAGGAGTATAGTGCGGAAAGAGAAGAAATCCCAAGCCATTCTTGGTCTGACACCAATAAATGGCAAGGATGCAGTGAGCTCAGGGGCTGTCTTTGTTTTCCTCTGTAGTCATATGCTACCAGAAAAGCAATATTGGAAGATTTTTCCAGAGGAACACCTGCAGTTGAACAGAAAATCGAATGTCTGTCATTAATAGACCAATGTATTATTATCAGTAAATGATTCATTTAGCAAATCGTGGGAATGTTTCAGGCTGTTAGGGCCTGTACCTTGAAAGGATGTTAAGCCTAGACAAATCTGAGTGGTGCAAAATCACTATTTCTTATAAGTATTTAAAAAATCGCCTTTAACTTGTTCCAGAAGTAATTTAATGTGGCTGTACTAACAGTAATAGAACTGTCTATGCTGAAAGCTAATTCTGGTCATGCCTTTTGCGCCTGTACAGTGATCTGGGATTGATTCTGCAATGCCAGTGGGACTGCCCTTGCCAGCTATTTACCTCTTTTGTTTGTGTTGTTTGCTGTTGTTCTGTTGTGAGGCTGAGAATATGGCTTCAACATGCTCTGCAGTACTGTGTATACCTTTCGATACCAAGAGGTTGGAAACTAGTTATGCAATTTTCAGTCCTGTTAAACTCAGAGGAGTAAGTTCTTACCTAGTAGGCTCTGCCTTTTTATTTGTCATCAGGCCTAGTCAAGATTGCGGGGCGGGGGTGGGGAGGGCACGAGGTGGGGGAGGGGGGAGTAAATGGGATTTTCTTTAGTGGATAAAAAGATACAGTTTTGTCAGATAAATATGGGCTGAAAAATAGAAGGCAAGGGAAATATATTGGAAAAGTTCTGGAGATGAGATAGTGGCTCAAATCCAGATTAACTTAAATGGGTCGTTTAAGTACAGCCAGAGAGAACTTTCAGCTGAATAACAGAGGGTCAGGTAATAGGCCAAAAGAAATTTTTTTTTTTAAAAAAAATATACTTTATTGACTTTTCACAGAGAGGAAGGGAGAGGGACAGAAAGCTAGAAACATCCATGACAGAGAAACATCTATCAGCTACCTCCTGCACACCCCCCACTGGGGATGTGCCCACAACGAAGGCACATGCCCTTGACCGGAATCGAACCCGGGACCCCTCAGTCCACAGGCCGATGCTCTAGCCACTGAGCCAAACCGGTCAGGGCCCAAAAGGAATTTTAGTAAAGTCTCACTGCATTCTCCTCTGCTTTCTCATTCTCTCACTAATTGAATAACATTGTATGTAAAGGACACAATTGAGTGCTTTAACTTCGAAGGTGTTCAGTAAGTTCTTTACTTTTCCATTATTATTCTATTTTCTTTCCCCCATTCGTTCCCTTGTGTTTCATTTCTCTTTGTATTTATAGATAAGCAGATTTCTACTTTTAAAATTAATGCAAGTTCAAAAAATAATGCAAAATATCAGATAAATACAAATATCTAGCAAGCAAGTAGAAGTTGACTTCACAAATCAATTAACAAGGTTTCTTCCCCATTCATAGCGATGAGACATATGGAAACAAGCTGATAGTGTGTATGTTTTTATTTTTTTCTTCTTAACTAAATCTTTTAGATTTGGGGTTAGAGTTAGTAGTAGTATCTGTCTCCTTTTAAAAGTTTTCTTAATGATAAATTGATACTCAAAATGCATTGTAATATAACCTTATTAGAAAACTATTTAGCAGTATCTACTAAAGTCAAGTGCACATCTAAATTCATGGCATAGCAGGTCTACTCATTGTATGTACTCAGGAGAATATGTGTCCACCAAGATATACACACCAGAAAGTTTAAATCAATAAATAAATGTTTACCAACAGGAGATCAGATAAATACATTTTGTTATATATCACTCAAAAATAATGATGAGCAAATGATGTCAGACATAAGAGTATATATTGTATGATTTATTTTATATGAAGTTCAAATTCAAGCGAATTGAATCTATGGTGATAGAAGTCAGAATACTGGTTACCAACTGGTTGGTGGGAGGAGTGTAAGTTGATTGGAAGGGGCACGTAAAAACCTCTTGTTTGCTGTGAATTGTCCACAGCTTAATCGGATGGAGATCCCCATATGTATAAAAACTTATTCATCAAGCTGTATAATATTATTTGGGTACTTGATATGTTATAACCAAATGTACATTGTATGAGTTTCATTTATCTTTAAAAAGGTGAATAATACTCTCTAAATACTAGTATAGAAGCCCCCCCTCCCCAAATGTATACACACTAAACAGCTGATAGCTCAATTGATGTTTCTTTCTTTTCACATTTAAGTCATTGGAATTAATAATTATTCAAAGTGTGTTTATGTTGGGGGGGGCACCTGTAAATATATATAATTTACTAATAAGACAAGGTAGTTATGCTAATTTGTTGCTCTTCACAATAGACTTTTAATATTGGACTAGTTTTCCATTCTGCTGCCACCATTGTGAACTGAGCTCTTACTGTGTCTGATTTGGTTCTTCAAAACTGCTTTATTTTCAGAATGTTTTTGAGGTAATATTATTTTGCATTTCATATCAGACACAGATTAAAGTAGCTTGTGAGGACGTTTTTAGATAAAAAGGAAAAGCCTGCCTAAGTTTGAAAATTAACCAAGGACCCTAGCTGGTTTGGCTCAGTGGATAGAGCGTCGGCCTGCTGACTGAAGTGTCCCGGGTTTGATTCTGGTCAAGGGCACATGCCTGGGTTGCAGGCTCCATCCCCAGTAGAGGGCGTGCAGGAGGCAGCTGATTAATGATTCTCTCTCATCATTGATGTTTCTATATCTCTCTTCCTCTCTGAAATAAGTAAAGATATTTTTTTTAAAAAAAGAAGAAAATTAACCAAGAATGGACTATTTAAATATGAGTATATTTAATCTATAATATGTATTTATTATAATATATATTTACATTTAAATATACACTTGGACTTTTAACAACACAAGGGTTAAGGGTGCCGATCCCCACATGGTCAAATGTCCATGTATAGCTTTTGGCTCCCCCAAAACTTAATTATTAATTGCCTACTGTTGACTGGAAGCCTTACTGATAACATTAACAGTCAATTAACACATGTATTTTGTATTTTATATGTATTATATAATGTATTCTTACAGTAAGCTCTAGAAAAGAAAATGTTATTAAAATCATAAGGAAGAGAAAATACATTTACAATACTGTATTATTTATCAATGCTCTAAGTGTACATCTGCTGTTTACAAGATAAATCATCTGTCATTACCTACATCAATATTGTCTTATATGATAGAAAACACTGTGGGTGTTACCTGTATTACTAACACTAGGCATCAGAAATGGAAAGATAATTGAAAAAATAAATTACTATAATGATTAATGCATTGATAACAAAGAAAAGAAGCAATTTCATTGTTTTATGGTAGCAACATAATTGATACAATTTCTTCACAGTAGTAAGAAAATCTTTCAAAAATTTTTTCAATATATTTATTTAAAAATGTGCATGTAAGTGGACTCACACAGTTCAAATCCATTCTGCTCAAGGGTCAACTGTAGATTAGAAGCTCTCTTAAACTATGTGCTTTATCTCTTTTATGTTCTTTTTGTTCTACTTAAATTGCTTATTCAATATGCATAGATAATGAAAAGACCAACTTTTGTGTTAAACTATCATGATTACATTGAGGCTGAAAAATACATAAAAGTGAAAAGTGGCTATCAATGAGAATTTATAGTGAAGCTCATTAAGAGTTTAGAAATCTTAGTTTACTTGTTTTGATAATTTATCCAGGGCTTCCTGTTTTACTGCTGGCTAAAACTTTTCCATATCTTTATCAAAGGTATTTGCTTCTATGTAGTGGACTTGGGGTTCCTAGCTTTGCTGAGTAACTTTAAGAACGAACTCCTAGCTTCCTTTTGACTCTTGTTTTCACAGGCTGCCCTGCAAGTCGGGGGCCACGGGGAAAGGCTGCACCAGTGCCGGGAGGTCATGCTGCTGACGTACAAATCCATCCCCATGCAAGTGGATGGGGAGCCCTGCAGGCTGGCCCCCGCCATGATTCGGATCTCCTTGAGGAATCAGGCCAACATGGTGCAGAAGAGCAAGAGGAGGACGTCCATGCCTTTACTCAATGAGTGAGTCCGCCCCTTCCCTACCTTCCTGAACACAGAGCGTGTGGAGAGGACGACGCAGAGCATGTGCATGGTTGGGGCCTCACTGTGTTGAGAAAGGAGCAAAAGTCCAGGAGACTCCTCAGTTCCTTAGGCTCTCTCACGTTTTTTCTACATGTTTATTACACAGTGACCACATGCTTCTTTTAGAACTCATTACAGTATCACATGCTAGATTGACGAAGCTTCTCCACTGACCACCTGAGTATACGTTTCCTGGGACCATCAGACACGCATTAAGAATCAGGGGCCATAAAATGCATCCAAATAAATGCGTTCTTTTGTATTTCGTTTTAGGAAGTCAGGCTGTCTGCCTCCTCTTTACTCAGGTCCCTTGGAGAGTATTGGTTTTGCCAACAGCAGGAGGTTGGCAGAGCTGGATTTTGGCTCACCTGTCTCCTGACTTTTTGGGGTCCTGTGGACTCTGTTGCTTCAGCTCAGTTTGCCATTCTAGGTGGCTTTCTTTTGTTTAGATTTAACCTGACCCAGATGCAATGCTTAAACAAAGTGTATCCTGTCCTTGACCCTTTCCTTGGTGTTTGGATAAACTGATTTCAGATAAGGTGGTAATGACTAGATATTCATTTTTTTTAGCATCCCTTAATCTAATTTTTATTGAAATGTGTATCTGGGTTTGGTGAAGGAGATGGAAAGAGATGGGGATTTGGAGCATTTTTTGAGTATCTTCTATATATCATGCCCATATGACCAGCCTGACTCAAGGTAAGGCCGTTTCAGGGCTCACCTTTGGGTCCTTCTTCTGTCACAGTGAGGGACCCTCCAAGGCGCTCTTCCTGTGTGTGGCCTGTGGTGCATGGTTAACTATTTGTACTGAATGCTGGCTTCCTCTAGTGCCTGTGAAGCAAGAACATGCTCTGTCATGTATTTATTGAGTTGATATGACAATCTACAGAAGTGCCTAGAATAAGCCAATGACATGGGTGCCATAGATCACTGCTCAAACTTGACCACCGCTCTGAGAGAGTATACATTGAGGAAAGCATTAGACAGGGCTCTTCATTTTGGGTGTCTGCTTTGAAGTCTAAACTTGGGGTAATATATCCTCTCTGCTGTGCTTCCTCCTTCCCCGAATCACTCTGGGCTGCCCCAGAACTTCTCTTAGGTCATTATCTAGGGTCTCATTTAGCTATATATCTCGTTTTATTTACATTTTGCAGCTAGTGAAGCTCCTAGATTATTCCTGGTATCTTTACCTTCTATTAGGTTGGCTATGCAATAGCTGAGTTTAAATGTTAAAAGTAAGATGTCAGCAACAATATATGGTTGGCCACATTCTCTCTAGAAACCTTAGAGTGAAGCCATGAACCATTGGTTTGGTCGAAGTCTCTGAACTGGTAGTGAAAAGCCATCTCTGTGAGTAGCTCAGGCTGTTTGGGGTCTCATGTAGATAGCTTGTTAAGAACACATAATACAGCTGAATGTTCTTAGTGTGTATAGGCAAGGAACTCCGATTCTCATGTCTGGAACTTATCTATTTAATAATCTTATCAGACATGACATTGTTTTCAGGTACAGTGGGGCCTTGACTTACAAGTTTAATTCGTTCCGAGACCAAGCTCATTAAGGAACTCATTAACTCAAATTACTCTATCAATTCAATGCAAAAAATCGGCCGAAAGACAGCTGGTATCTCAAAAAACTCGTTAGTCGGAACACTCGTAAGTCAAGGCCCCACTGTACTATATTTAGTTTTAAACACCTCTTGCCTTTGAGAAAGGATTTGTATTTACTTAGTAATTGTATTGTTAAGAATCCATGTAGGCTTTTTTCACATATGAAAACAAATATAAGTAGGTTGGTGGGGGGTTGTACTCATGACACACATGACAGATTTTGTGATTTCATAGATTTAGCAGCACAGGTAGGTAGGCGTTCAATAAGCCATCTCAACTCAAAAATAGTTACTTTCCACCAGGGGGCAGTGGTGGCTCCATTAAAGCAGCCTTGGGTCATATGAAAGACTCATGAAAAATGGCATTAATAGTATGCTTTTGATTTTTAAAGAGAACACAAATCAATATTCAAAAATAAGATCTTTATTACTACTTATGATAAAAATCATTCAACACTATATTTTTACAAAATCAATATAGGTAGCACGTTTCAAAGGAAAACAAAACACTCAGTTACCATATAATACTTCTTACCCACTGATCTTATTCACCCTCTGAGATGAGACTGCTTTTTTTCCATTTCTCTAGAAATCGTTGTTTTGAAATCTAACTTTTTCTACTAGATTTATAAATGGAATTTTCAGTTTAAGGGCAGACTGACTGTTAAGACCTTTTAAAATGTTTTCTCTCTTCCAGCCATGATTGTATAAAGCTTACTATTGCAGCCAAGTCAGAGAGAGATCATTGAAAGATATATCTTTATTTCCTTCCTTCATTTTTTCCTTTCCTTTCTTTCTTTATTTTTTTTTGATAAGACTATATGTTTCTTCTGTTTCATTTGCCTGGTTTAAACTGTCTTAAGAATTTTAGTTAGAAAAACCTCTGTGTGTTGAGGAGATGGGAGTTCTCAGTCAGAAGAGGCTCTCCTTTATCTTAAGTATCCTTCATGCACATAGCATGCGAACTGTGAGTATTTGAGTTTTAAGTGTTGTGGTTCCCCTGAACAACTGGCCCCCTCTTTGGCTTGAATGCCAGTGCTCCGCAGGGATTTGCCCTTTCTCTGGGACAGCTCATCAGCACCCCACGTTTCATCTATGACTGATGAGCTAATGAGTCTCAGGTCTGCATCTTCAACAAGGGTTTCTTCTAAAAACTGAAGACTTATCACTAAATATTTAAGTTGACATTTTTACTTGGATATTTCATAACAACATCAGACTACATGGGCTACTATTAATAGATTCATTAAGTCTGTTCTCCTCATCACCCAATGAGCCTTTTCGTTCACCTGTGTGAATGGAACCACCATCCACTCATTCACCATGACCCTGGTCCCTAGACTCCTCTCAGTCCCCTTCACTTTTACACCTCCAGTGCCTTCTTTGAAATCTACCTTCTATCTAATTCCCACATCTTTTAACTCTCACACCATCTAACCATCTTCTCTGCTAGTCACCTCTCAGTGGCACTCCTAAAATATGCTCATAATTCATTTCCTTATTTCCAGTGTTGCTGCCCTTCACATAATGCCTTTTCCAATAGACTAGTTGGAATGAACTTTCTAAAAATGTAAAGCCCATATGCTTTGCTTTACAGCCTTTATGATCCTTGCCTTCTCCATCCTCATATCCCTATGCTGCAGAGATAATTGCTGGTCCTAGAGCAACAGCCTGTCTTGTGAATCATCATATCTTTTCACTTCTGTTGTCCTCACCTCCTTTCATCTGCTCATTCTCACTCAAGTTCAAGACTACATTGATACATCACTTTCCCTAATAACTTCTCTATCTACTTCTAGACATTAAATACACCAGTCAGTGCTCCCATAGTGCTCTTGCTTATACCATTTATGAAAAACTGTGTAACCATTGGTTTACTTGTCTCTCTTCCCTACTCTGTGGGGAAACCCTGGGGTTTTCCTTTTAGGGTCCTGGTACCTGTCAGTGTGCCCGAGACTTGTGGTTACATGATGAATAAGTGGCTCACACATGGTACAGATATGATATATTTCTTTAAAATTATTTCTAAAATAACAAATCTAAGATCTCATGAATATAAAAATGATGTAGGAAATGTCTTGATAATATTTTATAATAACTGGAAGAATTTTTAGATCCGATTCACATGCATAACTGGAGGAAGTCCCATGAGAAACAGTTAAATAGTAGTTCTTCATAATGCCACTACAGCTTCACATATGCAAAAAGGAAAAATAATTTTTAAAAACGTCTTGGTTTATAATTCACTTCTGTTGTTATTATACACAAACTAAAAGACTAGTCCCCATTTGTGTTCAATAGTCCTCCCTCCATTGGTACAGAAATATATCTTATTTTATTGTGGTTATGAATCTATTCGAAATATGAACTCTAGCGAATAGCTTCCCACAAAAAAGTAATAGAGGAGATTTATGTAGGTTCATATTCATGTACTAGTATTGTGTTAGCCACATTATGCTCCCTCTTTGAAAGGCATGTTAGAAAAAGATCAGAAATTTGCTCAGGCTGGTATGGCTCTGTTAGTTGGGCGTTGTCCCGTGCACTGAAAGGTTGCCTGGGTTGCGGGCGATCCCTAGTAGGGGACATATAGGAGGCAGCCGATCAATGTTTCACTCTCACATCAATGTTTTTTTCTCTCTCCCTATGCCTTCCTCTCTCTCTAAAAAGAAAACCAATAAAAAAAATTTTAAAGAAAAAGATCAGAAATTTAACATTGCTCGGTGTTTAGGGAGGTCTTAAGCTAGCTGTTACCCTGAGTTCAGTAGTTATTAAAAATACATTGTGAAGGGTGATTGCATTGTCTAAGGACAAGATTTCTAGTTGCCAGCTTTGAACTAGTCAGCCCGTCTGCTGAGAAATATTATTGGTTATAACTGATAGTCCTTGTGGAATCACAGGGAGTGACTTCATGGGTTAGTGTACAGGAGACTTTACACATCCAGCAGGAAAGATGGATCTGGGGAGTTAAGTCAATTGCAACTATAGTGAAACTGTTCAAATCGACTGAGAGTGTAATTAGGTAAAAGTGATAGGAAATTTGGGTTTTAGTTTTTTGAATTCTACATTTGTCTTTTCAAATAACCACTCAAGGCCCTCTCCTTAATCTAAGAAGGGACAAAAGAGAGATGTCGTCTATGGTTTCAATCTTCTACCATATGAGTGGAATTACGGCTTTGCGGTGGTAAATGTAGGCTTTGTGGGTATCACGTATAGAGTTCTTAAAAAGCTTTGGTGTTTATGTGAAGGAAGTTAAAGTTGAGTCAGTCTTTTCAACATGGTGGTCTTTTGACACGAATATTTCTGCAAAGCCCTGGAATTATAAGGACTATGTTAAGGGGTGAAATATACCTTCACTCTCCTCAGAGATAAGTTGATGATGCCAGCCTGCCCTTGTGTGTGTGACTGTGTGTGTGTGTGTGTGTGTGTGTGTGTGTGTGTGTGTTAGTACCAGGAGAGCAGACCATCAGGAAGAAATAAGGTGAGGTCATGCGTAGGTGTTAAACAAATTTCTGTTTGTAGTCTCCCACGAAGTACATAGAGAATTGCCTGATCTGTCACAGGATAGACACAGTGCTCTCCGCACCTGCCCTGCGCTCTGCCCTGCGCTCCAGTCTGTGGTTTGCCTAGAGCCAGCCTCTGCCATGTGTCCTGTTGGCTTCGTTGCTCCCACCGGCTTTTTGGATTATTCCCGTGGCTGGCTTGATTTTTCCTTTGCACTCACTGTTTGGTGACGCGCTTGTTTAATTTCTGTTTAAATTTTGTGTGTCTCTCTTTCTCTCTCCGGGCTTGGTCCCTGTCTGTCCACGCTGTTGTGCTGACTGTCTTCGCTGCTCATTCCCTGCTGCCTCTAGTCTCCATCAGGTGCAAGCTGCGGACCTGCGGAGAGTGTCTGCCCCCCCTGGCTCCTTCACCATGTGAGTACAAAGCCGGTCGGTTTTTACATTTTGTCTCTCGCCCTCATCTCCTCCTCAGGGTTAGACGACCTGCGCCCTTTTCCTCCACAGGTCTGCTTCTCAGACAAAGAGCCGCCTAACCGCAATTGCCTCCTTTACCCCTTCTCTGCTTTGAGATGGAGCTGCGAAGTTCATTGTGTTCTATTTGTCTCACTCCTCTATGAGTTTACAGTTTAATTTTTTATTAGATGCTTTCAGGCCCCTATTTGCATAGGGCTGTATATAATTCCATACTAAGCATTGGTTTTTATGGAAAGTTGGTCATACCCTTAGACCATTACTCTGATCTAATTTCTATGCTCAGGGAGGATGCTAAAGAAGTGCCTGCTGACCTTGATTTGTGGACAGACCCCTACAATTATGCATGGGGCTCTGGGTATGGTCATCTGCGTCTATGCATTTTTCTGAGATAAGGATCCATGGTTGTAATAAAGGAGCAATGCCCGAAAGCTTTCATTGAGTTAGCAAAACCCAGTTTATACACAGTAATTTGTACTTAACATACTTTATGCTTTCAATTTTTTTCTGGCGGAAACAGACAAAAAGAAAATATGTGTTTTGGCACTCCACTTTGGGACTTTATGTGGTTGCCTGTCTTGCTCTTCTTTCTTGTCTCCATCTCCCATACACGTAGCTAGCTTTTGTTCTGTTTCGGGTCCTGGTACAGGTGGTGCTTTACATATACGATGCTAATGTCCTTCCCCAACAACCCTATGTCATGTGTGGTGTTATTGTCTTCCTGTGGTTCACGAGGAGCCTGAAGCACCGGGAGGTTAACTACTTGCCTAGGGTCACACAGCTAAGGAATGGCAGACTGGGGTGCAAACTCAGGCCGTCTTACTTCAGAGTTCATACTCTTAACCATGTATAATCTGCCGCCTTTCGTCCATCATGAGCCTTTCTTTCTCCCTTTCTTTCTTTCTTTCTCTTTCTTTCTTTTTTTAAAAAAATATATTTTGACTTTTTTTTTACAGAGAGGAAGGGAGAGGGATAAAGAGTTAGAAACATCGATGAGAGAGAAACATTGATCAGCTGCCTCCTGCACACCCCCTACTGGGGATGTGCCCACAACCAAGGTACATGCCCCCGACTGGAATCGAACCTGGGACCCTTGAGTCCGCAGGCCGACGCTCTATCCAGAGCCAAACTGGTTAGGGCCATCATGATCCCTTCTATTTCTCAGGGCCTGGTTGAATGATTGCCTTCTCAAAGAATTGGTCCTTGATTCTGGCTGTCAGAATTAGCTACATCCTCACAGGAGTTCACTATTGCTGTTCTCATAGTTCTCAAAGGTTTAGTCAATTGGTATCAATTACATGAGCTCTATATCTTTGTATCCCACACTAGACTTTGAGCTCATTGACCATATCTTCTTATGAATCTTTGTGTTCCCTGCTCTGATCACAGGTCTCAGCACAAAGTATTCTGAAACCAAATATAATGGTTGGTTGGTAGAATGAATGAATGAAAGAATACAGGTCTAAATTGAACTGTTCAATGTCTAACATCTAGGTATATGCCGAAGTGATATAATCTTATTTTCAACCCTAGTCTTATAGATATACACTTACTTATTAAATATTTATTTCAAAATATTTATTTTGTACTTGCTCTGCATCAGAGACTGTTTTGTGCTTGCTATTTAGGGGTAAGCACAATAAAGCACTACCTTGATGGACATTAAATTGAGTGATCAAAGAATCAATAAGAAGTTAGCATTTAATTTCCAATTTAATGCAGGTTATTGCTGGGGTATATTCTCTGTTCTACAGAAGGCCTGTTCAGAAAACTCGAGTTCAAGCAATGGCTCTCAGGGATCATTACTTTCAGTGGCATTATTTATAGAGTTCAGAGTACTGAGAGTGTCAGCAAGTGAAGTGCTTGTGGTATGTGCCATATTTCTATCACTCTTTAAGTTTGTATTGTGTTTAAGTCTTAGTGGTATGTAAATTAAATGAGGCGCTTTTTTTCTTATTTCAGGTATGTATGCTATCTGAGGTACATTGTTTTGTTTGTTTTGAAAGGGTATAACAGGCAAGACACCTAGGTATGGCCACTTTAAATCCAAAATATTTTAGATTTATATATGATATATTAAATAGTACATATTATATGTAACTGATGAAATATTATATAATAAAATTTTATTAAATTTGAGTATAACGTTTAAAATTAGATAGCAAAATACTGTCAAATAGAGCGAGGAACATGGAGAAAAATCTAAGCACAATAGTGAGTACTGTCTTTATATATTATGGCAATGGTAACTTAGCTTTGACCCACTTTCACCCTGCTATTTGCTATTTTCAGTGATGTTTAACAATCCACATTAATGTTGCTTTGGTCCTCATGAAAGTCAGGACTCCAGTATGTATCTAATACATAACCCTTTACAACTGGCTTCTTTAACTGACCATAATGTATTTGGGATTTATCAAAGTTGTTGCATACATCAATCATTTTTTCATACTTACTGCTAAGTAGCATTCCATTGTATGAATGTTTCCATTTACTTACCCATTTACTCATTAAAGGACATCTCCATCTGGGTTATTTCCTGTGCTGGGAAATTATGATAGGCCTTCCATAAACATTGATGAAAAGGTTTTGTGTAAACATTAGTTTTCATTTTCCTAGGTTAAACACCTAGAAATGGGATTCCTGGATCATATGGTAAGTGTGTGCTTAACTTCATAAGAAACCGACTGTTTTCCAGAGTGATTGTCCCATTTTGCATTTCCACCAACAAATGTATGCAAATTCCAGTTTTTGCACATCCCTGCTAACACTCAAACTTTTCAACATTTGAAAATTTTTTATCATTTGATCATTCTAAAATGAGTGTCTTTACATGTGATTATTTGTGTTCTATTTTGTACTCTTTGATGAAGTACCTGTTCAAGTCTCACTAATTGGGGAGCTGTTTCGTTTTCTTCCTGTTGAATTTTGAAAATTTATCATATACAGGGTGGGCAAAGGTAGGTATACAGTTGTGAGTACACGAAATACAGTTTTCTTGTATTATTATTTATTAATTATTGTATTATTTTCCATACTGTACAACTACTTTTGCCCCACTCTGTATTCTGGAGTCATTTGTTAAGTATATGCTTTGTGAATGAATATTTTTATTGCAGTATATCTATTGTATTTTCATTCTCTTAACAATATCTTATATAGAGAAAAAGTTTCAACTTTTGACAAAGTTAAAATTATTAATTTTTTTTTCTTTAAAGAGGTATGTTTTTGTATTCCATGAGTGTTTGGCACATAGTATCAATCAATATACATCTGTAGAATGAGAAGGAAACACCTGAATAGAATTCATAAAGTAGCTGTTTGAGAATTCTGAAAAGTAAGTGATAGCAGCAGATCGGATAAGATAAGAATTTAAAATACCATCAAACTGGTGGTGAGCTCTGCTCTTGTTTTTCCTTCAAAAACCCTGGTGTGGACTCCAGGCAGCACAAAGCCTGACTCAGTCAGTGGGTGCAGACAGAGGAAGCTGTAATAGAGCCCGTGGCCTCCTACTTAAGGAAAAGAAAGGGACTCTGAATGCTCAGAGAAATTCAGGAAATTCTCCCTTTTTTTAATTGTCTACCTCCCCACCCACCCCTCATTTTTTTATACCCCAGCACTCAGGCAGTTTTGCCACACTGGTATGTTTGGTGTTACATTCAAGAATTCTTTGTTTAATCCCAGGTCATGAATATTTCCTCCTTTGTTTTCTTCTGGAAACAAACGTTTTACATTTTGCATTTAAATCTGTGACTTGCTTTGAGTTAATTTTTGTATAAAATGTGAGGTTTAGCCCGGCCAGCGTAGCTCAGTAGTTGAGTGTTGACCTATGAACCAAGAGATCCGGGTTCGATTCCCAGTCAGGGCACATGCCTGGGTTGCAGGCTTGATCCCCAATAGGAGGCGTGCAGGAGGTGGCCAGTCAATGATTCTCTCTTGTCATTTATCTATCTATCTATCTATCTATCTATCTATCTATCTATCTATCATCTATCCCTCTCCCTTCATCTCTGAAATCAATAAAAATATATTTAAAAATAAATAAACAAAATGTGAGGTTTAGGTTACTTGTAGGTTTTTAATTATTCTTTTTGCATTTAAAATTGTTTAGTGGTTCCAGCACCATTTGTTGAAAAGACCATCTTTTTCTATTGGAGTGCCTTTACATTTTTATCAAAAATTAATTGGTAATAGATATATAGATATAGATACGTATGAATATGGATATATTTGGATATATGTAACTTTTGGGACTCTATTCTAGCCTATTGACCTACACTGGTAGCAGCAATGACAAAGGCTCCAGGTGCTTAAAATTATAAGTGAAGACTTTCATTCTAAATAAGAGCAACTGTGACCCTACGAGAAAGGGATAAACCAACACTGCTACTTTCTCTCTCTCTCTCTCTGTACTGCCTGGTCCTGGCATGAACACAGTTGCAGGAAGTATGTATGCAGCAGAGTGAGGTAACTCAATCCTTAGTTTTCTGGCTTACAGACCCGAAAAGAGAGCCCCAGAAAACGCTTGCACACCCTGCACTCTATCAGGGAGTAGCCAAAACATTGCCAAAGTAGAAATTTACATGTATGCCTTTGTAAACTATGACGTTGACCTCTAAAGTAGCCAAGAGGATCCATCAGACATAATTTGCCTCAGAATGAATGAAGCTGTTGGTGGCTAACACACCAGCCTTCACAAGAACCTCAGAATGAAGAGCACTTCTGGGCCAGCTAAGCTTCCAGGAGAGCTTGTTATCTGGGGCAGAAATCTGTCCAAATTCTGATTCATTGATTATAAGTTTTGGGTCATAGTTTCTGGACCCAAAGATCAACTATGAGGGTACCAAAAAGGCCTAAGCATTCAAAAGCTGGGGGTATATTTATGGCTAATGCTTTTGTTATTGTGACTGTAGCCCTCAATGTTATCTCTGAGTGGTAGGATT